CGCTCAAAATGGGCTCCACATTCATTTAATTGACTTATGGATATTTTATACAGTTTTCACCACACCGTCCTCAAGGGTTTATTTGCATTCCTGAAGTACTTTTTTTGGGGAATCTTTACATAAATACAATGGAGGCCGATTGCCTCATGAAGTTTGAGTTTGAACAGTGCTGTTTGCATTGTGTTGATGTTTCTTATCGTCTACTTCCTTTCTTCTTCTTCTTTTTTTAATCTTTTTTTTTCCTTCCAGCTTTGGGGCAAAATTGGCAAAGAAAAACTAACAGTCGGCTCATCATCAACGAATTTGCTGGTGGCAAATTATTTTTTTTATGGCGTGTGCATTTTACAGAAAAAATAACAGTGTAATTAGAAGTAAGGAGGAAAAGCAAAAAAAGGGGATTTTGTCAGCTTTTAATTTGTAAAATCAGCTTTTCGCTCAGATCGAAATCCTCTAAAATAACGCAGCAACATAGTAACAAAAATTTTTTCTTATTTTTTTTTCAGACTAAAACGCCTCCTTTTATTTTATCATTATTTTCCCTTATTTCTAAAATGTGAGTGTTAAGTCCGCAGAGGAGCGCATACCTTCACACACTGAGTGCCACCGCGGTTCAGTTCCGGTTAGCCTTCTCGCCCCCTTTCCCCCGTCTTCAAATGGAAATGATTTCCATTGGCCCAAGGTGTCCATGTAAATAGGTGTAAATGAAACCAGATTATGCCTTTCCTCCCGACTCAACCCTCCTCCTCCTCCTCCCTCCTCCTCCCATGGCGATTGTCATGTGATAGCAAAGAGGTGGCACATTAATGGAGCGCCTCTACAGGGGTCTTTTCTGCTCATGTCACCACATAAAACTATCAGATGGTTAGAGGGAGGCCATGGAGGCGTACACCAGGGCCAGTCTCGTCAAGGAGGCCGAATGATTCAAGCTCTGCTGCAGCCGGGACGAGCTGACGAGAGAGACTTTTGTTCGCGCACCCAGCCGCCTCGCTTCCTAAATGCGCACAGAGGCGCCGCTTTTTACGCACGGCTTTTTACGCAACGCTGAAACTTTTTTCTTTTCTTTTCTTTTCTTTTTTTCTTTTCCCGCAGCAGTTGTTTTCATGACAAGCAGTGCGCCTTTTTCCCAAGGAACTAAGGGGAGTTATTTCCTTCTGTTGAAACCCATTCCTTTTTACTGAACTCATCTCGAGATGCCTCGTCCAGGGAGGAACACGTACAGCGACCAGAAGCCCCCTTACTCCTACATCTCCCTGACTGCCATGGCGATCCAGAGCTGCCCGGAGAAGATGCTGCCCCTCAGCGAGATCTACAAGTTCATCATGGATCGGTTCCCTTATTACAGGGAAAACACGCAGCGGTGGCAGAACTCGCTGCGCCACAACCTGTCCTTCAACGACTGCTTCATCAAAATCCCGCGGCGCCCGGACCAGCCAGGTAAGGGCAGCTTCTGGGCTCTGCACCCCAACTGCGGGGACATGTTCGAGAACGGGAGCTTCTTGAGGCGCCGCAAGAGGTTCAAGGTGTTGGCCGCCTCCGACCACCTGGGCCCCAGCAAGCAGCAGTCGGACGCGGCGCATTACCTCCAGCAGCAAGCCAAGCTGAGGCTGAGCGCGCTGGCGGCCACCGGCACGCACCTGCCCCAGATGTCCACCTACAACCTGGGCGTGTCCCAGTCGTCCACGTTCAAGCACCCGTTCGCCATCGAGAACATCATCGCGCGCGAGTACAAGGTCCCCGGGAGCCTGGCGTTCTCCACCATGCAGTCCATGTCCGCCGGGTACCCGCTGCACAACCAGCTCACCACGGCCTGGCCCCACATGTACAACAGCGGCGTGATGGACACCGCGGCCCCCATCTCCATGGCCGGCGGCGACTACAGTGCCTACGGGGTGCCCATCAAGTCCCTGTGCCACGGGGGCCAGTCGTTGCCGGCCATCCCCGTGCCCATCAAGCCCACGCCGACGTCCATGCCGGGCTTCTCGGCGCTGCCCCCCCACATCCCCGCCTTCCTGTCAAACTCTCCGCAGAGCCTGAGCCCGACCTCCCCACAGACAGCGACGAGCCAAAGCAGCCCCGCGACCCCCAGCGAGACTCTGACGAGCCCCACGTCCACGCTGCAGTCCGTGGCTGTGCACTGACCGCTCTCACTGACACCCACCCACCCCTCCTCCTCCTCCTCCTCCCCATCATCTTCATCATCCTCTCCGACGCCCCCCCCTTAAACCCAAAGTTTATATTTTCTGGAAACTATCAAGGCGAGTCGCAGCTTCATGTCGACTTTCTTTGTGTTGTGTTGAATGTGTCGCTTTAAAACCGTGTCCAAGTCCAGCACAGACAGAACTATTGCTCTTGAAAAGATAAATTATTTGACAAGTTTTTTTATTATTATTGTTATTATTATTATTATTGTAGAAGTGTTAATAATAAGGGCAAGTTGTTTGGTATATTTGGGCAAAACGTTTGCACCGTTTCTGTGGGACCAGCTGTTTCTATGAACTTACAAAACAAACGACTCGGTTCTGGTTTTTATTATTTTTGCCTCGGAACACTGACATGATGGTTCAAAAATATACCAAATAGGATTTAGGTTTGTTCTTTATCACCATCAGTGCAAAAAGAAGCAAAACTGACATCTTTTTTCCCCTCCAACACTGAAAATCGGTTATTTGTCCTGAAAAATGTAAGATGTGAATATTGCAAACTGATATTGAAAATGTTGTAAAATAATTTGAAACGATGCACTTTTTAGTTTGAAATATCTATTTTACAGAAACGAACGAACTAAAAAAAAGGGAAATGAAAAAATCAATTTCTGTGAAGCATTTAATTTAAAAGCTGTGGTGACCATGTGTGTCAGATGCTGTAAATTTGTACTTTTTTTTAGGTAAAGCATGTATTCTAAAAAAAACGTGTTACTGTTGTTATTGTTGCTGTTTCTGTTTGTTTTGTTTTGATTTTTACCAGCATGCTTGCTTCTTTTTTTTTTTTT